GCCGGGCGGAGGGGCCCTGCCCGGGGGATGCCCTGGGGGCCGGCGGGGGGAGGCCGGGGGCAGGAGGGAAGTAGTGTCGGTGTTGCCGGGGGGGAGGACACCCGGCAGCCCCCAGCTATGGAGCCGCAGGTGGGGCTGCGGGGGAAGGGGGAGACCTGAGGGGCTGGTGGGTGCCGCCCGCGGCCGGGGGCTGGAGGAAGGAGCGGGCCGAGGCCCCTGACAGGTGTCTCGGCCGTTAAGTGCCCTTCAGCCCTCCCCCGGGGACTTACAGACGTTTGTGTTCGTTGTCGCTGCCGCCGTCCCCAAAGATGATGTTGGGGGAGCAAGCCCAGAAGTGGTTCCCAACTCACGTGCAAGTTACGGTCCTTCAAGCCAAAGGTCTGAAGCCAAAAGGTAAAAATGGCAGCAACGACGCCTACACCATCATCCAGCTGGGCAAGGAGAAGTACTCCACCTCGGTGGCCGAGAAGACCTTGGATCCCGTCTGGAAAGAAGAGGCCTCCTTCGAGCTCCCTGGATTACTCATGCAGGAGAATCCAGAAAAATACATCCTGTACCTGATTGTCATGCACAGGTCGCTGGTGGGGCTGGACAAGTTCTTGGGACAGGTGGCCATAAGTCTGAATGATATATTTGAGGACAAGCAAAGGAGGAAAACAGAGTAAGTGCTGGTTGGTTTGGTGTTTTTTTTTTTTTTCCTTATAATTTGTATTCCTGGTACAGTTGCACTTGGAGGGGAGGGGGGGGATTAGCAGCTTTATTATCAATATACTTGGAAATGGAATTAGTATGTTTCTTTCTTCTGTGGTGTGTTCAAAGCCCTTAACGTATACAGTTGTGTCACTGCCACCTGACCTCTTCCAGAGAAAAGTTTACTGTAGTCACAGTGGTTGCTCTGCACAGGGAAGGACTGTCATTAACATTTCTTGACAAATTCTTATGTGCAACATGAACTCACTACAGTCTGTTTTCCTAAAGATTTTTCTTCGTTCTGCTCAGGGCCACATCCCAGTTCAACTCCTACCCCCATTTTAACCATCTCCCTCGAAGCCTGGTGTCTTTCTCTTTAAAAAATGTTTTCCTTCGGTTGCTGCAACCAAGCGTCTTTAAATATTTTATATTTATGTTTCGGTGGTCAATGAACTGTGACTTGGTGAAGGCTTACCATGGCAGCACAGTGTTTTTCTGATCCTGATTAGCCCTGGGCCGCGATCCTGCAGGCTGCTCTGTACAGCAGGCCTCAACAGGGAAGACTGAAGGGAAATTTCTGCTGTTGTGGTAGCCTCCATCATTACCTACATAAGCTTTTGTCAAGTAAAATTGAAGTTTGCCAGCAAATTTTGGCACTGGAATGTCTAAAAAAAAAAAAGGCATCACAGCAGTTTATTAGGGTGAACTGTAAACATATCTAACTCTGGGTTTTTCAACTAAATCAGTAAAATTGTTTAAAATTTCTAGTCAGGACATGGTTGCATGAAGAAGTCTGGTACAAGTGTAATTTATTCTCCAAAGTGTATGGGAATAAAGTGTAGATGTAAGCATAGTGCAGGCCTGCCTGTGACTACATGATCCGTGTTTGTGTTAGCTATTCTTGTCCCACAGAAGTAGGCCAAGAACAGCATGGAGACCTCCAAGCTTGGAGCTGACAAATCTTTCTGCAGTGGTTAAAAAGTTCCTGCCCCAGGTGCCTTTCCTCCTCGAGCATCTCTTCAGTAGAGCAGAAAGGCCCAAAGTGCCCAAATCTCAGCTGTTAAAATTAAAGGGCGGTGTTTCTTTTGGTCGTGATGGTGGGTCTGTGGTAAGATGCTGGACTTTTGGATCGAAGTGCCTAAGAGGTTGGCATTGTTTGTCTGTTGCTGATGGTGCTGGGGAGGCGTGAACCTCCAGTAGAGTCAGAGAGGGCAGGTGGAGGTGGAAATCATCCAGCACCAGCTGAGTCTTGTTGATCAGATAACTCTTTCTGCAGAAACCACCTCAGAACCTCGTCCTTCTTATGTGCAGTGGCTGAGGTTGAAGGAGCACCAAAGACAAGTCAAAGCTGGCTTTGCCCTAGTGGTTGGGGTTTTTTTGTAAACTACAAATTTTTAGCAAGAAGGTATGTTCACTAACCATATAATAGGAAAGAACATGTCAGTGCAGAATCTCTTGTGGGTTCGTGGTCTGAAGTGTTAAACTTTTTAATTGCTTATCTTTTTAGGGACAAACCATTTATCTTGATGCAATACATGGTAATGCCTGTAGCCTTAGGGTCTTAATTTCTATTTACACTTGTTTCAAGAAGTTTCAGTGCTCTTTAGACATGCATCTTAAATATTCTTTAATCATCAGTTGTAATTATCTTGCAAGTCATAGGCAACAGCTTTAGTTTAAACACCTAGCTACTCTACAGAAAATGGAGTGAATAAATCAAGTAGAAATGCTACTAATTGTAAAAACTTTCTAAGTCTAGGTAGAAATATGTATTCAGAAACTGGAGGAAAATATGTAAATTATTCATGTATTAGTGTGAGTAAGAAAACCTCTTTTCCCTTTGGGGAACCATATGCTTTTGCACCAGTTTTAGTGTTGGAGTCTTACAAAATTATTGCAAAAATTTGTAAGTGGGGTAATTAACATAGCCCTTGCGATAGTTAAATAAATACACATATCTCTTCGGTATTTTTAGATGACGTTGTGTTCTGCAGGGCTCCATAGGTGCCCTTTATTTTTTCCATTTCTTTCTCTGGGGTGTGAGGGAGGAACTGGCACGATGTAAACGTGCCACGGTGCTTCCTGGGACCACCGCAGAAATGAGTGGGGCTCTGCCTGCAAGCTGCTCTGCAGAGATGGGGGGCCCGTGGGGAAATTTTTACAAATAGCCCAAGTCCTCTTCACAGAAGTTACTTGAGCACTTAAGATTGCAAATGTTATTAAAAGTTGATGGGCGTTAGGCTTCTAGAGCCCAACAGCCGTCCTTGTAAAAGTCTTATGTACGTGTAAAAGTGCGGATGGGCGGTGAGCGGGATTTTTGGCAGCACGTACTCACTTAATGCCGATTTAAATTCTTAGATAGCAGCCACTGAAAGGCCAGTTTTCCCGTCTGTGTCTCTAGGTGCTTAGAAGCTGAGGAAATGTCCTTTTAGAAACTCACTTTTGAAAAAAAAAAATCAGAGTCCTTAAGCGTTTAGAGGTTTTTGAAAAGTTGCGAGGGTCATCTGCTCATGTGCCTTGGTGGAAGGCGTGTGTGCTGCTGCTGCTGACTCCTTGCAGCGTTAGCTGGAGATGTGGATGCAATGTTTGTACGTGTACGTGGGAGGAGGGCAAACTTTCAAGAATATATTTGCAAATGCGCTCTCAAACAAAACGCTCTTTCTTATTCTCCTTTTATTAAATCCTTTTTGATACAAAATATCCCTAGTCCTGTGTTGGCAGTAAACTAAGGGTAATATATTTAGACCCGAAGACCTTCTAGCCGTGACTGTGGTGTGGGAACTGAGATACCCAGTGCCTTTCAAGACCAAGTCCAATGTCTTTATTACCAAAGCATTCTGATGGTTGAAAGCTATATTCATTGTTTCAGAAACACTAATCTGTTTTATTAAGCAATGTTTTTACTTTCAAATATGTTCAACAGGCTTGTGGTGTTATTAAATCCAGAGTTATTTTCTCATGTTGATGTAACCTTAACATTTCTTGCTTTGTTTGGGGATGAATGAGATCCAGTTATTTGATGAAGTGTCTATTGGTAATATTTCTACTTTTTAATATATTTAATAGCTTCCTCTTTCCAACACAGCTGTACATATGGTGCTGTGAGAGACAGACTCAAGAGTCACCAGGGTATTGCAAAAAAGATATTTAATATTCTGCACAATGCTGAACCCTGTCAGCAATTCCCTAGTGCTTTTTTAGTAAGGAGGTATGAGAAGTGAAGGCTACCAGCTGATTTTGAATTCCTAGGAAGACCGTGGGGTCTGTGACATTGAGCTTTTTGTATTTTTTTTTTTATTTAATATTTTATAATTTGGAAGAAATAAATTTAAAAATTCACTGCAGCTTCAGAAACATTATGCTAGGGAAAAATAATCCTTTTTTCTGTATAGCTTTTTTTGCCACTTGTTATACCTTAAGAAAAATACTCTTGCGGTGAAGTTTTCAGGCAGAGGCCTCATGATAGGATTTGTGCGTCTTGTGTTCTAATGAACTTGATTTCACACAATATTCAGTGAAACAAAGCAGTGTATTTACTGCAATTTGATGGCGAAAATTTCGTATGCACCATCTCGCAACGTCCTTTCTCTTTCTGAAACCGATGGATGATTTTTCCAATTCTTAAAAGTGAAAATTCCTGGAACGGGTAGATCCAGATGTGGCTCAGATGGTCTCGTACAAGGTCTCTTCCCGAGCCCTCAGCCAAAGCGCCTGCAGGATCTTAGTTCATTTTCTTTCTGTGTTGGTGCAAAAGTGCCCATTGCATCGTGCTGACTTTGTAAATTTGTGTCTCTGGCATCGCTGCTGTAGTTGGAAATGGACGGGCTCTTGTTACTTCTCCTGCTCTTTTCTCCAGAGTTGAAAACTGGGCTCCAGAAGCTGAGTGATTTTACTGAGGTTTTTTTTAACAGTTCAAAAAACTTGGGAGAGACTGCTTCATTGGAAGTGTATTTAGCATAAGTCTTCAGATCTTAGATTTCTGACATGGTTTCATTTTTTTCAGTAAAATCCTGTGGATTTTTTTAATTCATCCTGAGAAATACATGACAGTTTTTTTGGTCTGCTGTTGCAGAATAAATATACCTCTTTTGCTCTTGCACTTTAAATGTAAATGATTATCAATGCTTGTGTTTTTTAAAGGATATATACATTTTTGTAATAATTTCAATTCAGTTACATTTAATAGTTTTCTTACTACTGCTGATGATCTGACAATGCATAACATCAAAACAAATTTTTGAATTATCATGGAATAAAAAAATACTCATTTACTGTCATGTCTGAATTTAGTGAAGTATTTTTCAGTAGTTTTTTTTTAATGACTGTGCTTAGTTTTTTTTCTCCTGTGTGCTAAATGAACACAGCAGTAGGAGAAAAAATTTCTGCCAGCTTTCACTGTAATGTTACTTATTTCATCAGCATTTGCTTCGTCCTTGTTGTTCTCAAATTCCACACTATTTATTGTCCATTCCTTTATTAGCTTTCCTGGAGAGCTAATTTTATGATATGTTCAGCTGATTTAAGATGCAACACTTCTCTGGAATGTTATAAATTTGAGGGGGGCAGGCGATGGTCAAGTTACTATTTCTTACAGAATTTTTGTTGGAGGAGACGTTTTTATTTGTGACTTAATTCACCTTCTCTCTGGTTTCTATAATACCTCAACACCCCACCCCCAAATTGCTTCAGCGTTGCAAAAAATGCTTATTTGAGCATAATCCAGTGAAGGAATCTTGGCCTTATCTAAGATGTTTCTCCT